CAGTAGTGGCAGTAACTGGTGTAGCAGTGGTATCAGTTATAGGTGTTGGAGTGGTGGTCATAACATCAGTGGATGTAGACAGGGAGGTTGTTGGGATGGGAGTAGTTGTGGTGGTTGGAGGAGATGTAGCGGTAGTGATGATGGTGGAGGTCATGGGAGTTGTAGTTCTTGGTCTATGCGGTTCTACCGTCACTTTGGGGATGGCTGTGAGTAAAACAAAGAAAGTGAACTTTACTGCTGCCTCAGAGTTTGAGGCCAAAATCAAAACTTGCAGTCAGGGGAACTGCTGACGTGCTTAAAAACAGTGTAAACCGCAGGGAGGACAGGCAGGTGAAAAATGAGTGGTTGTTAGGCGATATTTGTATAGTCTGGATAAATTGTGTGCCATTAACTGATACACAAGAGGCATAAGACCAATAAAACAACTAGAACAAGAACTAGTGTGCTGGGACGTAAAGAAGTGAATTTAATCTTCCCATCAGCTGTAAAGAAGAGAAAGAGATTCAGGTTTCCTTCATGTTTCCATGCTGTTGATCTACACAGGCTGTTCTCAGACCCAACTTTATATTATATAATCTGTTTGTCTGTCTATTGTTTGTCTGCTAAGACATCATATTTAGACTTTGTATGATGTTAGTCCAATGACAGCATTTCAGAGAGAATTTAAATAGTTTTAACTTATTTCTTTTAACACAGGTTCTCTCCTGTGAAATACAACTTTTTAAAAAAAACCTATATACTAATAGGTAAGTGTACACTAATATATAATATATATTACTGTTGTCAAACAATTAAAATATTGAATCAGATTCATCACTGGGTTACTGTGGATTAATATTGATTAGTCACGATTAAATATCATTCATTTTTATTCTATATTAACCGCATTTCATTTTGCATGAGCAAACAGACTCAAGAAAAAGGGAAAATATCCGCACTTAACATGTTTATTGAACAGCTTGAACATTCACGTTAACAAAAAACTCTGTAAACATTTATCCACTCTCTCTCTGTCACTCTTGGCGAGGCACTTTAAGTCCTTGAAATGAGGCACCAAAGCTATGTAAAGAGCGTGTTCTCACTGATATTAATAGGTCTGCAGTTTGTTGCAATCCACATGGCATTGTTTCAGTCAATATGTCCGAGGTAGACTTACTGAGTCCCCTGCTCCGTGAGTGGTTTGTCGCAAGCTGGTTGACGCATTAGCCAAAGTCCTAGCACCATCCCAGACTAACGTATGCTTTGCGTCAATGTGAAATTTTAAGCTCAAAGTGCTTCGGTGAAAAGAAAATTCCTTCTGGCACAATTTGCATAATGCTTTATGTCGGTCGACTGTTCCGTCTTGTTATTTTTAAATACTCAAATTTCCCATTGAGAAATCATTATCATCTTCCATATTGAGTTGATTGGTTCAGCTGCCCGTCACTACCAGATCAACTGCCTATTTGCAAATGTGCAAAGGTACTTGGACAAACTGCCCGAAATGTGTTAGCTGAAATATTTCAGGGATTTTGAGTCATTTTGTGCTCCA